CTGCTGTCTAAGCCTATAGCAGCATAACTATAGGGACAGCTCAGGATAACCTGAGCCCCTCTAACTATAATATTTGTCAAACAGTAAAGTTTTAAGCCTTGCCTTAAAAGTAGACAGGGTGTGTGCCCCTAGGACTACAGGAGAGGAGCCTGAACAACAATCAGATCTCTTATATAAGATGAAGCTTGGTTATTTACGATTTTATACGTGAGAAAGAGGATTTTAAATTTTATTCTAACAGGAAGCCAATCAAAAAAATCTAAAATAACTGTGGAATTATGAATATTTACATTCAAATTAACTAACCAAACCTAAAAGAATCTAACAGAAGCAGACCAGAAATACATCTCAGTTTTATAAATAATACATTTTTTAATGAAGTTAATCTATTTTCACTGTTGGTTAGCGTAACAGTTTAATTGCAATCCCTAAAAATACCTTTTTTCAGTCCAAAAACATTTTGGATCTAATAAATGTACCACATTTACTTCAAAAAATATACATAAGATGCATTTGTTGAAATATTTTTCAAGGAAATTTTGGCTCCACTAGCCCACCTACAAAGATTCAAACAGCAAACACAACATCTTCACAGCAACAACAGACCTCTGCATCAGCTGACTCATGCTGCATAAAAAAACAGCCGTTATAACAAAACACACTGTAATATTATTTAGCATGTTTGCAACTTGAAAAAAAAAATATTTTTATCAAAGATTTTTATAGATTGAAATTTGCTGTACATCAGCTTGGTTAAACATTCCTATAATTATGCTGTGTTTTCTCAGACTGCCTCCGTCCTTGAAGAAGCCAACAAACTAAAAGAAGAGAACTTTCTTATTCTACATGGAACTGCAGATGGTGAATATTTATTATTAGTTTTCATCAATTCAAGAAATAATCTCATATCTAATTCTTTTTTTTGTGTCTGTCCACCCAAAGCGAGGGTCCACTTCCAGCACAGTGCTGAGCTCCTGAGCCGCCTGGTGAAGGTGGAGGCCAACTACTCCCTGCAGCTGTACCCAGATGAGGGCCACGTCCTTAGAGAGCCCCGCAGCGTCAGACACTTCCAGCGGACTGTTGTGAATTACCTCCAGAACTGCCTGAAACACAGCACCCTTCTAGAAGTTCCAGAGGAAGAAGAAGAGGAAGATGACTGATTCCAGAAGTCTCTGTCTCTCCTTCTGAAAGGACTCTCGATGAGGACTGTATGCCACAGTTAAGCATTTCATTCGGGCAGGTTACCAGGAATTAGAGCAGAGGAGTGGGGACCAAAAGAATCAGATCACCTCGTGTAACTTCTGGAAAAATTGTTGTACTGTACGACATGTTACACAAATTTATTTCTGGTGTTTTGTTGTATGTTTGGGGAGCAGTTTGTTTACAATATTCACTTGAGATTATGGGGATGAGACTTCCACTAACTCAAAAAGTTTACAAAGTTTATAAAACATGCATGTCATAATGGCTGCATGATGTTAATTATTGCATTTTGAGCATTTTTCCAGGATTTTTATTTTTGCCTTCAGACCTCAAACCTAAGTCCCGTCCTGCGCCTCTCATTCTTACTTAAAGATTCTTAAATCAAATGGTTATATTACCTCCCCTGCATTTCAAATCTGCGGCTACTAGTTGCAAGACACTAGGTCGTGAGGAGCTGGAGACCCATGGCTTAGAAATATGCAAAACAGACAGCACCATACTGGGAGATATCAAAAATAAGAAGCGATTGCCTTAATGAGAAAACAAAAAAAAACATCCTGACACGCTGATTACTTTGAGAAAGAAGGTAATTGGCCTTAAGTAACAAAATATTTTGGACTTCTATTGAGTGAAAAAAAGCCGTACAAAATGATCTCTTGTGTGTTCATAGCTTGCATGATCTCAGAGTAAAACCAGAGTTAGAGTTGCATCTCTTTGGTTAGGATATCATCAAAAAGAAAATTATTTCAGTAATTCAATTAAAAAATGTGCAGACTTTGGGCCTTAAAACCCTGGACTAACCACAACAAACAATGTGGCTCCCAAAAGTATCACTGATAGATGATACTTGTTGTTTGTACTCACTTTTCTCGATTTTCCCTTCCGTTCAGTTTTCCTTTATACTTATCTTAATATACTAGGACACTGTATGGAGTCCTGGTGTCTTAAATTCTGAAATTCTGAAAGGACTTACTGAATATTGGCTAGACAGTTGTTAAGTCAGGACTATTCTCCATAGTACGTACACGGTCGTTACATAAACTCGTATATTAAAAACAGTTTTTAATGCTCTTACATAATAGTTTAAGGTATTATAATTAATTTCCAATCGTTATCTTAATAAACAGAATTAAGCACGTAAAATAAATCTTTTGAAATAAATCTGTAAGATCTCTAATTTTAACATTTATGATTGAATTACTAAAATAAATCAGCTTTTCAATTATATTCTAATATATTGAGGTGCACCTACATTCTAGCATTTTTACTGTGTTTAACCAGATTATACAGTGTTACCTTAAGATTAGAGACTATTCAAAATGTGCCAAATACATTTGACAGATTTTATATTCTGTTTTTCTTTGCATTGTGTGAATAACGATAAGTATGCAACTGAAATGCAACAGAAACTATTTCTACCATGTTCAATTCATATTCAAGTTTAAGTTACAGAAACGTTTTAAGTGTCTGTGTAATGTATTTAGATGTATTATTTCTGTTTTGATACAGTGTGGCATTTTAACCATTGATTGTGTAATGCAGAATTAAATTATTTCTTTGGAGAAATTGTTCGGGCATTACGTAAAAGATTACAAAAGAAATCAAACTATAAGGAGAGCATGCTGTTCGGTTGTAAAGAACTTAACTGAATCTGGAGCATCAACTGCTCCATGTTTACTATACTCAACAAAAATCTGGATGGTATTTGTTTAAATAGATCATTTATTATGCCGATAATCTCATAGGACCATTTGATTGAGTGAGTTTTTACAAACAGTGCAGTTCAATTCAAAGAAAACTTTGTCATTTCCTAGTCAAGAATTTAGGAATAGACCATACTCAGCACTCCTGTTCCTCCAAGTGCTCCAAAACAGACCATGGTGAGAAGAAAAGAACACTCCGTAACCTAATCTGTCCTCCTTGCTCTCTCTGCTGGGCCGTTTTGTCTGCCGTATTGCAATACATTCACACACTCTCCACTGCTGCTCAAAATGGAGTAATGTTTCTTCCAGTATAATGAGGAAGCTCAGTCTTTGGTGGGCCTGTTTGATAATCGCACTGGTCATCAGAGATTTTGACGCTAAGGATTTCGATTCAGTTTATGTATGTAGCGTCAATTTGCAGCATGTTATCTAAAGGCTCTTTACAGAGTCAAATTAATCAAATGTTACAGACAGACTGGTTAGAAGTTATCTCTGTAGGGAAACCCATCTGGTTTCATCAAGTTATTGACTTTGCAGCATCTTCTGACCTAAAGAAGTATGTGGAGAGAGTGGACAGTCTCTTGCATAGTGTCACCTAAAATACATTTAGCAACGGTGGAGAAGAAAACTCCAGCAGAACCAGACTCCGGTTTTTAACTCTTTAATTCTACAGCTTTTAAGTTTATCTGTTACACGGTTGGCAATGCTAAGGGACTGGTGCTCAGATTGCGACCACTTCTACAAGTCTTAAGTTATTTCCTTCATTTTATTTTCATTTTAAGCACAAGGTTGCTGTATCTGCATCAACCCTCTTGCTGTTTCATATTGTAAAACTGACCTTGGTCAAGAGTTTTGGTGGCAAAGTGTGACGATAAACATTTATTTATTTAAAATGGGCTGCCATAACTAACCAGGGACAAGGTCAGAAGCTCCTCAGCTGTACTAAGGAAGAATGGAATGTTCATCTGAATTCCCCAATCCTCTTTTTAGATGAGAGCCAAGGTAACATTTTATTTGGAAAAGTTCCAGAATCCAAAGAAATAATGGAGATGCACAGTTAGTGATGATTTAGGAAACCGTGCCATCTGCTCCTGCTGGGTCACTAGGTTTTTTTTCCCAAGTTCAAAATCATTGCAGTTCAAAAAAAGTGAGTGTTTTATGCTTTCTTCTGCTGACCAGCTTTAAGAAAATTTTAGATTAATTTTCCAGCAGGAGCTAGTATCTACCCACACTTCAAACTGTAACAATACCTGCCTTAGTGACCAAGGTATGACTGTTCTTGATTGGAAAGCAAAATAGCTAACCTTTTATTTCATTGTTTTACTTTAGATCATTTCCAAAACAAATGCAGTATAATGTATAAATATAATGTACTACATAGTTCAAAACAATATGAGTAATATAAATTTGAAAGGAGTGTGATGAAGGCAAACTGTTTTGCTCCGGTCCCCTACGTATTTCTTTTTTTTTTTAAACATGACCAGGATTATCCTCTTGAATATTGTTAAGATTAGAGAAAAGAGCCAACAATGTAGATAAGATAAAGGCTGTGATGCCTCATTAACCTCCAAAGATACCATAACTTGGTTATATTCAAAGGTGCACAAACCAAGTAATGAATAAGTCATAATCTCTGTATTAGAAATAATTTCATCAGTTTCAAGCTAAAGATGAATAAATGGCAAATTTGAGGAGTTTTTATTGGCTGTATAGTCATTAACGGAAATAAAAGCTAAACATATTTTACTCTGTATGTAAAAAAAAATAATAAACATATTGATCATTTAAACTATTTGGAAACAACTGTATGCTATGTCTCATAATTTAGCATGTACAATTTTCTGAATGTGAATAAATATTGTATTGGTAATTTCTGTATCTGTGCAGGGAAAGAATAATCGTGCAGAGAAATCTACGTTAGGTTAAGTAAGGTCTTTGCTAAACCTGTGGGTTTGACCAGAGAGTGGCAAAATGGACAGACCATGGTTTAAATCTGTCGTCACAATCTCAAGGAAAACCCTGCCCAATCACATTACGCTTAGCTTTCATATGACCAATCAGATCTATCTACGTCATTTCGACGATCCATCCCATCTCCCAATCAATGCGGCGGAGAGTCGCAGGCCTGAATCCTTCTTCAACCTTCTAGTTTCTGGAGGGGCACCTTCAACCTGGTCTGCGGTGCACTGGTAGTGGCTCCTTTCTTTAGATAAAAAGAGGTAGAAATAACACTTTGAAATAGAAACAATGTCCTTCCTGACTATCAGCCGGCTAGCACCTAAACTTCTTAATTCAAAGGTAAGAGCATACAAACCACACATTATCTTCATGCTAACTTTTGGCTAGGCTGCTAACAACGTTAGCAGCGGGCTAGTTTATGTTAGCTAGCACAGCATTATCAAGCACAGTGTGTCCTGGACTTTTGGGAACTGCCGTTTGTGGTTGTTCCTCTAACATTGTAGTGTTAACTGAAGTCGGCGGTTTCCCATTGCTCCATGCTTTGGTTTTATAATGGGAACTTGCGTCTTGTTAGCTAATATTAGCTTGGAGATTTTTCCTCCTGTTTAGCTGGCCTTATAAAGTCTCAAACTGGGCAGGTTTCCTCAGCCTGTGTTTATCAGACCGTCTAAGTTCTGAGCTATTTCATCCACATTTTTTAAACTGTTGATATAAACTGTTTATATTAAAAACATTTTTACTCTACTTTTTATCTTTCTTCCCCGTTGACCTTCACCTTAAAAATGAATACTCAAGCTGTGTGTTTGGTGTACCAGGACAAGGTCTGCATCATAAAGAGAATTGATGAATAATCAAAGAGTGTAGAAAGAGTTTGGCTGGCGTATTTTTTATCTTTAAAAGTAAATGTGGTTGGAATAGACACAAGTATCTAACTGGTTGAGTTTCATAATTTTATCAAATGAAGCTGGATCTGGAATGTCAGCTGCATTTTTGCCTATCTGTGATTGAAATCCCCTTCCTGCTTTAAACTCTTCAATGACTATAACCCTATGTCCTACTCCACTGACCTTTTAATCTAGACATGACCCCCATATTTAAGTGTGACTTACTACTAAAATATTTACAGTGTCCTTATAGAGGGTCCTCCCTCAGGCATATAAATGGTGACTAAGTAATTTTCCACCTTTCCTCGAGCTTTTGTGCCCATTAGGTGAAGCTGGCCTCTGACACATTTACCTTTTTTGCTTATCACCTGCTATCTCAGCTGATAAAAAATATGAGTTGGCTTTTTTTTTTCTTACATAACTTCTCATGACTCCAAGTTATGACAGAAAAACTCATTTGAGTTGCATTAATTGCAAGATCACAAAAAAAGTAATTTGGTTAGTTCATAGTGGAAATGTGTATTTTACAAGGTAAATGTTAGATTGAAATGCAGATTTTTTATGTCTTTTTTTTAAGAAACTTGGAGGTTGTAGTTTACAGTCAAACTGGAAATGAAGGGTTTAAAATATTATCGTTATTTATCACACTATGTCCACAGCCATTGTTGTTTTGATCAGGCTCAAAGAAATTCAAACTACACATGAAAATTAATTTTCAGTAGTTCATATGCTTATTGGTGTTTCATCCTTGAACTAAATTGTGTTTTGTTAGTAAGACATACAAAATGCTAGCTGCTGACACTTAAGCATTTTTGTTTCTTCATAAAACACAACCTTTGGGAGGTTGACTCCTTTAACCTTTCTGTGAAATGTAGTTTCTCCACTTACTCTCTCCTCTAGGCTGCTGGCAGTTGGGGATCATTGAGTTAAACTGCAGCTCTATATATAAGACCTAGAGCTCTTGCATAATCTTTCTCTAAGCTTCAGGAAGAGTGTGCATTGATGCAAAACCCCCCTTTTGTTTTGGGGGACCCTTGTTTTGACCCTGCTCAGTTGGGTTCTTGTGGGGGAGGCAGTGCTCTTTGCCATAGTTTTTTTTTTTTCTCATCTCAGGATTCATTTTACTTTAAATAATCCTGTTCTAGTGTGCATTTAGAAGTTCCTTTACTTTTAACAAACCCAAGAGTCATGTATACATTTGCATGGAATATCGTTTGGTTTTATTTAAACAATCCCTCATTTTGTCCCAGTTCAAAAATGGCTCCTCCACTTAGTTTAGATATTTTATGATTTAGAATCAGTAAGTAATGTCAGTGTTTTCACCACAAAAGTCATTGATAGATATAGAAAGAAACCGTATAAGATGCACATATTGAATAATAAAACGGTTCCAAAAGACTATACTGTTACCACAGTAATTACTCATAACAGACCCTAAACTATGCCTTCTACACAACATTACAATAAAATAAAAACAAATATTAAACTGCAGGCAAAAGAAAAGTAGTGGACACAAAATAATATGTTAAAGTTAACAGAAAAAAAGGAGGTAAATATAATTCAGTCAGCTGAATATTTAAAAAATAATCACTTTAAGGAGGGGTCAAGCTCTTAAAGACAGTATTTCTTTTTCTTTATCTATTTGCATAACTAAAATTATAAAAAAAAATCTTACACAAGTCTCAATAAAAAAAAAAAAAAATCTTTATTAACAAATAAACGTATAGTATAGAAAGTGAGTATCTTTGCATGCGTTTCTCAAGGCATGAGATCAACTAATGAATCGGCAAACACTAGCAGGTATCAGCAAACCCAAGAAGAAGAAAAAATGCTAATGCCAGTGGATGTATCTGTCAACCTGTAGTTAAAAGCCCAAGACGTTTATTCAAAACAAAAAAACTGGGGAATATATCTTAATATACTAAAAATGAGTTTATTTTACCTTTTACTTCAGGATTTTTTGTTAAATTTTGTTTTAATAGGTAAGAACATTGAGAAATCTGTAGAGGAATGCTTTCCCCCTACAGTATGTATTACAGTCACCAAAGACTTCCTGGCATGTCACTCATTGTGCTCTCTGTCTTATAGAGGTTTTCCTCTGGTATAATGTAATTGTCAGGGTTGAAATAGTTTCTGGTACCTGTTATCTTCTAACTAGTCAAACAAAATTTTAGGAAAGTTTAAGCAGTTTCCTGCCATGCCAGAGTGACAGAGCTAAAAATAGAAACGCAGGTCAATAAAGTACATAGCTGCTATTTGCTCTGACTTTTTGCTTTTTAGCAACCATGTGAAATCATGTATTTTTCTCATGGCTGGATAATTGAATCAACTAACGTGTTTAAAATGTTAAAGTTGGAATGATATGAATACCTATTGGATCTGATTACTTTTCTAGTTTTATTTTTATTGTTTTGTATTTTAAAATATATTTTATTTAGCACTGTTATGTTTACAGAAGTTTTTGATAGTTTTAGTCAATATCAAAAATGTGTCAGAAATTTTAATTTAGATTTAATGTTTCTCCTAAAATAAGCATTTTTCTGTTTTACAGAATGCCACACACCTATTTGTGGCTGCCAGGAATGCCACTGCATCAACAACAGTAAGTATACACAAATATCCTCATCATCATCATCTATACTTTAAAATATGTTGTTATTATTAGTATTCAGGCTCTTTTATCCTGTAACTGTTCAGAATAAATAGAATTTTGGGATTCTCCACATCTTGAATGGGTTTAAAATTATATATCAAATGTCTTTTTTTCCCCTCCAGAATCTGAAGGATGTGTTGGCAGACCTCATCCCAAAAGAACAGACCAGGATTAAGAACTTTAAACAACAGTATGGCAAAACCAACATAGGTCAGATTACTGTTGACATGGTGAGTAACAACCATACACATGATCTATTTGAGAACCTTTCAAATATGGATGTAAAGAAAAACAAAGGAAGAGTAAAAAATAGTTGGTTTAAAAGGGGGAGCAGGGGCTGAGTCGGTATATTTTAATTTAGAGAGGTCTGTCTCTGTTATTGACCATAGCAGAGATTAATCATGGCCTGGCTACATCCCATAATCCATTTAGGCCTGCCCCAGCTTGTTTACTGTGTCAGGTATCACTGTACGGTCATCTGCCTCAGAGGTCACATTATGAACTGCTTTCTGCCAACAAAGATATTTCAGCTGAGTAGCTCAAAATGTCAGCTGTAAACTGCAGATCTCAGACAGGATGTATAGGCTGAGTGCAGTAAAGCTTAATGGCTGGTTTCTACTTGGATTGAAAAGGAATTTATTGTCTCACAGGGCTACTTTGATTTAATTAATGGCAAACTTTCCACAATTCCTGCTTTCATTTTTTTCCTCCAATACCCTATTAGCATTTTTTACCTTTATTAGTTGTAATCGATCGTTGTTCTGTCAGCTAAAGGCATGTTTTAGAGTCTCTGTATTATTTCAATAATCGATTTATCCCGATTAATCTGATTAATTGTTTCACATAATTTTGCTTCTTAAAACATGAATACTGTTTATACAGCTGCTAAAAACTGTTTTTTTTTTTTTACTGTTATTTATTAGGTCTATGGCGGTATGAGAGGGATGAAAGGTCTGGTATATGAAACATCTGTGTTGGATCCAGAGGAGGTATGTTTTTATACACTTAGAATATTATACAATACATTGGGCTACCAGAGGTAAAATAAAATTATTAATTAACTTGAGTTTTAACAATTTGGTGCACAAACAATTAGGTGATACATTTTTCCTGTAATCAAATTTAGCCCGAACTTTCTGTTAAGCAGGCCACACCGGATAAACTGTTGGAAAAAAAAAAGCCTTGTTAGTTTTTATTAATGCTTGCATAACTTTTTACAAAGAACCTTATAGAACTTTACCTGATACTTTATTCACTATAAATATACTTTTCAATTAATTAGAATATTTTCAAGAATTTATTTTATTATGCTAATAATTTCAAGAAGGGACTCTGATATAGACCCATTCCATAAAGTAGTTATATATTCTACCCATTGATTCATTATAATGGCTCATAGCGAAAAGAGACAAGTACAAATATTTACCTATGTACATCAGGTTGTGAGTACCCATGTGTTAATGCAACATGCTTTGATAAAATTCCCCTGAAGTTGCTGACTGTTTCTGTTTTCGTGCAGGGCATCCGTTTCAGAGGCTATAGCATTCCAGAGTGTCAGAAGTTGCTGCCTAAAGCTCCAGGAGGTGAGGAGCCACTACCTGAGGGCCTCTTCTGGCTGCTGATAACTGGTCAAATCCCAACTGAGGAGCAGGTGAGGTTAACACCATTTGAGTAGGCTGAAAGAAGGCAGCTAACAAGAATAATTTAAACAGAACATTTTTTTTATTATCTTGAACAGACCTGGAAAGAGTTTGTTTTGTGTGTTTTCCCCACAGGTAAACTGGGTTTCCAAAGAGTGGGCGAAGAGAGCAGCACTCCCCTCTCATGTTGTCACCATGTTGGATAATTTCCCCACAAACCTGCACCCCATGTCTCAGTTCAGTGCTGCCATCACAGCTCTGAACAGTGAGAGCAGCTTTGCACGGGCATACTCTGAGGGAGTACACAAGTCCAAGTACTGGGAGGTGAGTGTTCATCTACAAACTCTTCATGTCCTGTAAGGACTGAGTGGGAAATATCACAACCTGCTGAAGTGAAAATAATGTCAGGAATAAAGTTAATCTTGAATTTAGTCATTTAATTTTTTTTTTTTTACCTGAAATCGATACAATTTTACAAACTTTCATTTTTTTTTATATCTTAGTTTGTCTATGAAGACTCCATGGACTTGATTGCCAAGTTGCCCTGCATCGCCGCTAAGATCTACCGCAACCTTTATCGTGAAGGCAGCAGCATCGGAGCCATTGACTCCAACCTGGACTGGTCCCACAACTTTACCAACATGCTGGGATACAGTGACGCTCAGTTCACTGAGCTGATGAGGCTCTACCTCACCATCCACAGGTGAGATTTAAAATGTTTTCATTCATCACTAACAGGATATTCATCCATGGGCTTAAATGTTAGGATCAGGTTGAGGAATTAACAGGGAGTTGTCAAAATATTGCATAGATTTAAAATAGAGATTTTTATTATTGATGCCCTACAAAAATAAAAAGAAATAGGCTACTCCATTTGTCTTCAATTAAGTGCATTTTCTTTGCATTGAGCAGGTAAGACAGTTCACCAATGGAATAAGCTGATTTACATTTGAGATAAGAAAAAAGCAACACCATTATGCTATCTCAACTGCACATGGGCACAATATCTAATTATCATATTTAAAGGGTAGAAATACTCATTCAATTGGAACATCATCTTATTTAACTGTTTAAAAAGGGGGTAAAATTCACTTATTTTTTAAACTCTTACCTAGTTTTCGATCAGTTTTGCAGAGTAACAGTAAATTGGTACAAGAATGTTTGTAGAAAGAAGGTTGTTCTTCACCAGCTACTAGTTTTCATTTTCATTCTTTACATTCTCTGAACAAGTTTAGAGAATGTCTGTGTCTTTACACAGAGTGTAAAGACATTTTTAAGGCTTTACTAATATAAGCTCCGTCAATGAAAAGGTGTCTTATAATACTGCTTCCTCATCAGAGCTGTATCCAGGGTTAAATTTCTTCATAGTTTGTCTGATTGTCCCCATTTTCAGCAGTGGGAATCCTGTGAAGACTAAAAACTCTCCTAGAAAACTTCCCTGGTTACTAGAGGAAGACTCCTGCACTAGAAAAGCAACATAACACATGCTCTTACCTCGTGACCCTATTTTATAATGTTTTTTGCCATAGAAGATGATCTTTCTGTCTCACTGCCCATAATGAATGCAGTTCTTTTACTTCAGCCTGTAGCATTATTTTCTCCTGTTTGAGATATTTTGCCCTTTTCAAAATAATAAAGTTTAAATATACTGCAAAGTTAACATGTTTCTGCTATAATTCTCTCCTTAAACTCTAGTGACCATGAAGGAGGCAATGTCAGCGCCCATACCAGCCACCTAGTGGGGAGTGCCCTCTCTGACCCCTACCTGTCCTTCAGTGCAGCTATGAACGGCCTGGCTGGTCCTCTTCATGGTTTGGCCAACCAGGTTTGTTCATATCTTTATCATTTTCTCCCAGTTTTCTTTACATTATGTCATGAGATGTTAATCTAAAGTAGGTCTTTAAACTCAACAGAGGTCTCCCTGTTTGCTTTTCCCATTTAATATAAAATTAACATTAATATATGTGTGTGTGTGTGTTTGAGATTTTTCTAATTTCTAAAACAAGTAATTCTGTTAAAACAAAGGGATTAGGGACAGAATCTCACACCCATTTAATCAATCCATGGATAAGAGAGAAGCTGAATTGTAGAAATTTTCTCTTCCTCTTCACTCATTGTTTCAGTTTTTACCGTCAACCATAACTCTTAAGCTAGCACCAGCTTGGGGGGAAAAACTCCTAAATATTATATTCCTTATGATTGTAATTTTTCTAAACGAGCCCATACAGCAATCTTTTCTTTTGACCAGTGTTCCAGTGTTGGGAACACTGCTGTTGCTTTTTTAAGTGTTTGTTTTTTTACGACTCTTTCTGTGGGTTTCTTATATGTGGTTTAAGCATTGTATCGTAAAGGTGTTAACTTTATGGTCTTTTCTAGGTTAATGCTAGAGGTAAATTTCCCTTTTATGTCCATTTTAAGACCATAAACTCTGGTCTTGCGGTTCTCACTAGCTACCATAGAGGTTTGTTGTTTAACTTATTTCAAACATTAGTATTTGTTTTATTAGCTCATTTGATAGGATCATCACTCATTTATTGCCAGGGCCTCTCCACTAAAGAATGCTCTGGTTATTAGTTTAACTGGTAGTAAAATGGTTCAGTGTTCGACACACGGTGTTGCATTTTTATACCAACTGATTTTGATATGCATGTATGAACGTTGCAGTTGGAAACCCGAATAATTTGTGTATTCATGTATTTTCTTAAAGGAAGTGCTGGTGTGGCTGACTGCCCTGCAGAAGGAGCTTGGAGGAGAAGTTTCTGATGAAAGGATGAGGGATTATATCTGGAACACCCTGAAGTCTGGAAGGGTAAAAACACAGATCAAACGTAAACATCTCCACTCTGTGATAATGTTTTTTTTATCAGCAGGAAGGAGCAGATCTAATGTGTTGTTGTGTAACCAGACATGCTGGTTAATTTAAACCTAGAATAGTGTTTTAGCTGATCTGTTCTGGTTCTAGGTGGTTCCAGGCTATGGCCATGCTGTCCTGAGGAAGACTGACCCACGTTACACCTGCCAGCGCGAGTTTGCCCTGAAACATCTGCCCAACGACCCCATGTTTAAGTTGGTCGCCCAGCTTTACAAGATTGTGCCCAATGTTCTCCTGGAGCAGGGTAAAGCCAAGAACCCCTGGCCCAACGTAGACGCTCACAGTGGAGTCCTTCTGCAAGTAAGATGACACTTAATCCTACATCAGCCTTCGGCAACGGCTTGGAATTAAACAGATTTATCGCAGTTTATCCACGGATCGCAGTGTATTTTATGGACTATTTTCTATGACAAATCAAGATGACTTCACATATTTTTGGAAATGAATACATGGATTTCAGAATCACAATCTGAACAGTGTGGAATGTATTTTTATTCAGCCCCGTCGATGTTCTAGAAGTACTATTTATTATAACTAGAGCTCTTACAGCTCTTTATAAATCCTGGATGTTTTCTGTGAGTATAGAGTTTGCAGGATGATGTGTTCATACAGTTGATGGTAAAGAAATGATTGAAAGCTTCCCTTTAGTCAGCTTATTCAAACCTAACCATTTTTAGCTTTAAGTTAGCAGCCAATCTAACAGTGATGGTTACAGCCAATTATCTTCTCCCTTAGCAATTTACTTGGTTCTGTAGGTCTACAACTCCTGGATCATGCCACAGAAAAGAGTTTCAAATCCTCTCATTACTAAATGCTTTTATCAAAGAATGTTAAGTGTTTTAATGATCTACTTGTGATACATTAGAATATTGTTTAGAAGTGAATTACTTTCATTAACTTTGTTAACTAAGTGAAACATAAATTAGACTGTTTTCAAGCCTTAATTTTCTTTTGTAGTAAAGATTTTTCTGCCTACAGGTTAATATTATGTCCTATTTATATTTAGAATATCAAATACAGCCAAAAGGAAAAGCATTTTTAGTGAAGTGATCCATTTCGTTCAAACCTATCCTAATCTATTGAGGTTTGTGGTTTTAATATGAAGAAATTCTAGAGATATAGAAGAGCAGATTCAGTGTTTTAGTGCTTTGCTGAAGTCTTCCTGTTTTCTTTGTGTGCAGTACTACGGAATGACGGAGATGAACTACTACACTGTGCTCTTCGGTGTGTCCCGGGCTCTCGGCGTCCTCGCCCAGCTGGTGTGGAGTAGAGCCCTTGGCTTCCCCTTGGAGCGCCCCAAGTCCATGAGCACAGATGGACTTATGGGTCTGGTCGGAACCAAATCAGGCTGAACACCTGACCTCAAAGGAGCTGGGGGTTAGCATGAAGGGTGAGACGATGTCCACCGCAGACACCAGTTGACCCCTCATGTCATTTCCAACCCCAGGAATTTATTGGGATTCAAAGAGACAGTACGCTTTTAATGTTATTTCACTAAAGAAGGGCCTTTTAAATTGTCACCAGTAATGTTGAAGTGTGTTTAGTTAACCACTGGTAAGTTTCCCCGTCATGTCTGCATGTTTGAAACTTGAAAGGAACAAACTTCAGACATGCACCTGTGTAACCTTGAGTGGGCCCAAACTATTTTCCAGTTTGAGCCTGAAAGCATCATAAGATTTCCCCTGAGCTCTGCCTGCTGCATGGTTCACCTGGAGTCAAAACTCTGAATAGGCAGCAGCACTCAAAAGGGGATTGTGGGAGTGAACTACACTTAGTAGATAATTGTTTAAAGGAAAAAAAAAACTCTTTAAACCCTTCTTCTAGATTTAGGTTCATTGTTTTTTTTTTTTCAAGAATCAAATAGAAATCTTTGAGTTCTATGCAATCCTATTTTCCAGTGCAGGAATTCGGTGTCTTTCACTCCCACATATGAACACTCCAGTTTAAAATAATACATTAAAAAGGTCCAAAAGAGCAACCAAATTCATAATCTGAAGATGTATAGTTGTATAAAAAAAAAAAAGTCTGTTAAAAGATACTGCCCCTTTAAATCTTTGATCTCCTGTTTCTCCTGCTTGTATTTTTTTCTTTTAAATAAATGACCTCGGGTACCTCTATGATCAAAATGCCTGTCTGCAAAGAAATCTTTTTTTTTTTTTTTCTTTAGAATTGAGCTTTTAATGAGTTTCTACTGAAATGGGTCTTAAGAATCATAGAAGATAAAGAATGTACACTGACAGTATAGCTAATTTGATTTAAGGATAGTGTTGTAATTGCCTGTAATAAATCTTTAAGAGCAAGCTTGGAATGGAAAGGTTTGATAGGGAGGCTTTGTAGTTGTCTCTGTGTATTTTAATCTGTAAAGTAATCCCCACAGGAGAGCGCTTTGACATCAAATACTCCAAAATGAGCACTTGCTTGATTGGGTTTCCTAATTTGTAGCTGTAGAACCCTTCCAGGTTGATTGTGTCTTTTCTTTCTTTTTTTTCTTTTTTTTTTACAGAAGGTTTATTTGTGTTAAAATGTAAAGAGTAATCTTCAGGCTCTCATTTTGTGGTTTTATTTATACTTTGTGTACATATAAATACCTATGTATAACTTGAATGTATGAGCTCTATGCGATCACCTGCTTGTCATAACCACAATTATTCCCACACTTCACCAACGATGTAATAACCGTGTCTGGTGTCGCTGAAGTGTTCGGTCCAGTCGGTCACCGTCTCATCCTGACAATGAACAAAGAAAAAAAAAACTGCAGCTATCTTGTAAATATAGTTTCTTGCTTAGCTGATGTAGTTTTTGTTTTTTCCAAATGTTTCAAGCTTGCTCTTTAGGTTCCAGGTTTGTCAACACTCCATCTTTGTCATGTTTCTTTCCTCAAACTTTTAGTCAGTAGTTCACACGAGCCTTTGAATTTATTCCACCCCCTCTTATTTCTGGCTTGATCAGACATCTTTTTGTGTTTTCTTGTGTTCTTCCATGCGCTGGATGGTTCCTGAGATGTGGTCATTTTGATCGTAGAGTGCTGCAAAGGTTGTATGTAACTGGGCATAGTGATTGCAGGTAGTTTCATTGGAGAGACGCTGTAGGGGTTATCAGCTGAATGGGACAAATGGGTAAAACGATAAGCTTAAACGCAATTGTGGAAAAATCTAACAAAAAATGAAAAATAAAAAGGTTTTTATTAACACTTTGTTGGTTTCTGTACATATTTGGTTAACGTTTAACATACAGGTCATAGTGAAAGCCTTTCTACCTCAACTTTTACATATTTCTCATCATAGGACCACACTGTTACAACAGAGTAATAGGGCCGTTATAGATAAAAGGATCTCAAAAGGGTAAGTTTAAGGAGAAACATTTTGAATATTTTCGAAAGCAAATGCCAAAATTCTTTGTTAAAAGCCACAAATTTAAGAAAATTTACTGTTATTTATTTTTTATTTTTGACCATTTTTTTCTAAAAACACCTTACTTTACAATTAGTGACAATCTATAATCTTCCAATGTTTTTATGTTTAAATCTGACAGATTTCACGTTATTTCTAAAACAAAATAATCTCAGATGCTTTTAGGCAGGAATTAACTTTTTTTTTTTCTGTCATCTGCAATTTCCCTCATACTCTGTGGTATGGGGTAAACCAACACTTACTGTGGTTATAAAAAAAAAAAAAAAAAAACGATTTTAAGACTTGGTAGTATTTTACTGAGCCCTTCTTATCTGTAATAAGTGTCTCTAAACGCTTTTTTCAACCAGAGAAATTCTAGCCTCTTGTTTTGTTTGTTTTTTTCCCAAATTAGTTTCCACTTGCATAGTGTATCTGATTAAACCTATTAAAGTTGAATATCTCGGTTTAGGTCTGGACATGTTAACATGTTTAAATCTAAACCACTAGTTAGCAGTTCTGGCTGCATCTTTGTCCTGGAAGGTAAACCTCTGCTATAGACCTGAGTCTTATCCAGCTCCTCAGTCTGTTTTCCTAATCCTGCCCGATATTACTTTTTTGACACAGTTTACATTGTGCTAATTCACAACATGTCATTACAAAGCTACTTTATAGTGACAATTCAAAGTAGTCATAAGGTCAGAATGGTTACATTGTATATGAAAGGAAACCCATTCGTATTCGCTTGCATCATGTTGTTGACTCTTCAGGAATCCCGCACACCGATTATGCATCTTGTTACAGTGGAGAGTTAAACGTTTGGCAGAACCAGGCTGAGTGTGACCTCGGATTCAAAGACAGAGATGCCTTGCTTTATTTAAATCTGAATCTGTCTCTTTAATGGAATATTTTTCACAGAATAATGCTGCCACTACCGTGCTGCAAGCATGCCTTTTTTTTTTTTTTTGTCTCTCTTCTAGGGTCCTTTTCACAAAGCAGGTTTAACAAACTCAGACTCAAACCTCAACTCTGTATTGATCAGGCCTAAAGTTGGAAGCTTAAGTTTTTTGTTTCATAAAGCTTTTGTGAATTAGTTTAATGTACTCTGTGAAAGTAGTTGAGCAAGTGCGTAACGTATAAAAAGCCATTATCAGTGGAGCCCCGATTGACGAGACAAACACACCATGACGACAGGCAACAGGAAACGCCTATTTCACCCCCCTGGAATTACAGATTTTAAGGCAGAACTGAGGGGGGGGGGGGCAGACAAAAAGCACTACAGCTGCAAAGGAGAGGAAGGTGATGGAGAACATTGCTGCTAGAGTTAAAGTGTAAGTTTATATGCAGTTATTTATGGCAGGCCGTTTTTATATTAATTAAAAACGCTGTGCTCTCAGTTTTGCCATTTGTAGATCACTTAATAGGATTCTTCCTGGTCAAAATCACATCACTAGTTTGTCTGAGCTGTAATAGCAGATTCTCTAAATTATATTTTTGCAGTAGAAACCGAATTTAAGAAAGTAAAAAAAAAAAAATCTAGTAGTACAAATCAAGTTTTATATCTACAAATGTTTACATATTTTAAGTAGCTGTTTTGAAATTTATCAGCTTGACTGAATATGTATTTATATCTGAAATAAGTTCCTACAAATTCAAAACAATACAAATAATGACCAGTAACAATAGAAATATGGAAATCTGAAATTAATTTCTAGACATCCAGAATGTTGTATTTTAGATGTGAAGAATGCCATTTTGTTTGAAATGGTCATTTTGACAAGGAAAACATTGATTTATACATATTGACTGAAATATTTATATAAGTTTTAATCATAATTTGACTAAAATACATATTCAGTAAAACTAATAGATATAAAAACGGTCTGCCATAATATGTTGGAACCACTGCAACGGTACAGGGAAAACTACTTTATTGCTTGTATCTAGTGGATAAATGTATTATATTTTGGTGAAATGACCTGCAAGAGGTGAAAAAGTTTTAAAAAGTCATGGGGTTCCTACTCAGTTTGATTCTGTCTCCATTACATGGTAAATACTGAGTGTCCGATTGCAGCCGCTTTGGATGTTATAATCCCAATAAATGGCCACTATTAGGCGGTTATCTGTCACATAGAATAGATTTTTTACTTATCAGGCTCCTTTCCTGAGGATCAAACTACCAGTTTTGGTCTGTGAGGCAGGCACCCCGTCTACTTTTATTTATTTTAGTGGTCTGTGAGTGCATTGCAAGGGATACATGAAAACATTTTGTTTCTTAAGTAGTAAAATAAAATAGGTGTCTGGGGTCTGCTTTGCTTTAAGAAAAAAAAAAATTTCAACCAAGAGGTCAGTTTTTTTGTGTCCACCTTCAGTTTTGACACACAGAGGAACAGCCTGGATGTAGAGTGGTCTGCTATTACCGGTAGCTGTTTTTTGCACTGAGATATCTGAACTTATCAAAGCAGCTCAGGTGTCCTGATTAAAACAAAGAAAAACAAATGGAGTCAGTCTGACTGTATTTTTTTTAGTACTTTGTTTCCAGTTCATCAGGTTTATGTGTGATTACAGGGGAATAACACAGAATAGCTCCAGTTTTATAAAGGCAGATATAGGTATAATCTTATTTTGTATTTGATTCCTTGGATGGAAAGAATTAAATGCTCACTATATAATTGGTTATCGGGCAATCCACTTTTCAGGCAGTCATCAATACTTTATGAAAGGGATATTCATGGTAAGACAAAATGCCCAAGGAGTACACAAGTCAAAATAGGTTGAGAAACATTCCTCGATAGTTATGCTGCTATAGGCTTAGACTGCTGGAGGACATAGAGACCGCTTTTCATCATTCTGCCTCATTCTATCTCTCTTCTGTTTCCCAACCTTTTAACTTTCAGTTTCATTACAGCTTGTCCAAGAAATGACAAAATATAGACATTATACATGGGGGGACGCGATGTTTGAGGCCTTGCTGCCATAAAAAAAGACAACAGAATCACAACGATTAAGACGAGAAAAAATAAAATCATGTTTCACACTATATCCTTAGCAGGATACAGTCTGAGCAAAAAATGTGTTTTGGTTATTGTTCACATTAAACCAGTTTGCACTTCTAAGGAAAACACACCATATGTTTAGGTTAACGAGGCATTTATACTTTTCAGTGTGGGAAATCAAAACTTCAATGAGAAGGTTGGTATTACATGGTCACTGCATTTTTTTGAATTTCATTTTTTTTTTTTCAAACTGAGTTTAAAGCAACCAGTCTTAGCCACCTGTAATTTAATATCCACCCACACACAAAGAGGACCTCATGAAACAGGACCCAGTTCTGTGTTTACATTTAGCTTTATTGAGATCTCCATCACTGTGATCATGGAAACAAGACTGTACAAATGCCCACCTCTCACATGCACCGTTATTAATAACTGTCCCACATACCTTAACCCCACTCTGGTTTCTTGTTGGTCAGCTGCGTCCGCTCTGCTGTGCCTTGAGCGATAGAGGAACCCCAGTCCTAAAAGACACCCAGTTAAATATTTACTCTGCAGGTGGAAGGGAAGCTTGGTCGGATCATTTTTGATCTCAATGATTCGTAGTTTGAAAATAATTTCAATACGCTAGGTCTGATTTTATGTAGATTGTTGATAAACAATCTTTCATAAACAGTTGGATTGTTTAATGTCATTATGACACAGGTGTATTTAAAAAGGTGTAGATTTTAAGAAATATATAAAAAATTTAGCAAACACTATGTTTATTCACTATATGATGGGGTTCAAGTTTTTATTTCTTTTTGCATTGATGTTTACTACCTACAGCAAATGTTTCAGTGTTTTTTAACCTTGATCCTAAAAGCCCACCACCCTCCTTTAAAACACCTGATTCAGATGATTGTATATTGATAAGCAGGGCTTAAATTAAATCAGGGTCCTGATCAGGAAAAAATGACAAAAATTTACAATGGATAAAATAACAATAGAAAACCAATAAGAAAGTGTATAAAATAATTTATAAAATAAAGGCTACACTTATAAAAAAAAAGATGAAATTGTCCAGAGAGCTGTTCCAAACGAAATTTCTTTTTGTTTTACACTTGTGTAAACAAAATGACAAATAAAATCTGAGAGAATTTTGCATCACATTATGTTCTGAACAATCACAAGAAAGACTGCTGACCTGAAAGTTGTCCAGAGGACGGTCACTGATAACTCCCCTTCCCTTCCTTGAGGTTGGCAAGTCATAAAAGGTCATTTCTAAATGGGCTGGATGTTTGAGGGCTCCATTGAAGGAGCGCAAGCCAGAGGAATCATTGCAGTCTTCACTGGGTTGTGAAGATTTAGGAATATTTAGGCATACCCAGCACACTAACCACCAATGAGACACCCCTAGTGTTAAGCGGTTCTTCAATGATTAATATTAATTATTAAATAATTAATAAGGACTGTAGGCTGTTGTTCTAAATTTCAAGAGACTGAAAGTTATAACAATGAATATAACAAACTCTTAAATGACCTAATTGTTAATGAATAAAGCAGAATCAATGAACCTTTTAAATGTTCTTATTTAGATCCACCTCTATGTTTTTAAAGTGCCTATATCATTCAAAATCATTTTGTACAGCTTTTAACTTTGTCATAATGTAGTTCACATTTGCCTGGCGTTTTTTTTGTATTTACTTAATTACAGGAAGGGAGGGTGACATGAGGCAGAGAGCAATCTATTCCGCTAAATGTTGAAACCAAGCAGCTCTATAGGCAGCTAATCTGCACAGTGACAGCAATGGTTTATTAATTAGCTCATGTCTAAGCCCCAAAAAAACAAGTCTTTCAACTGTGGTCTTACATATGTGTCCAACCGCCAGACGTAGTGCGTTGACATTATAAAATTTGCTTCGCAGTGAAGGCAAGTGTCTTTCAACTACTATTTCCTAATAAATTATCTTTAGTGCAAAGAAAATATCTAATCACATTTCTGCCTGTAGTTGCCTTTGAAAGGCCAAAAAACTAGAAAATAGGAGCTTTAATTTCATCCTGTTCTCATGTACAAGTTGTGTCTATCAAAATATTAGATCTGCTTTGTTACATAGCTTCATTCACCATATGGGTTAAATTAAGCATTTAAGAAACACCATACATAGTTTTGCAGTATTTTATTCTACAGCTCACCAGCATGTTTCCAAAAAAACAAATTTTATATATATATATATATATATATATATA